TAGATTTACTTTTTTAATTTGAAGAAATCTGTAGCTGAGGCACATCGATTGCTTGTAGAAGCATATGGTGAGGCTGCCTTAAGTGAGAGAAGTTGCCGTGAGTGGTTTCAAAAGTTTAAGAACGGTGAATTTGACGTCGAAGACAAAGAACGTAGCGGAAGGCCGAAAGTGTACGAAGACGCGGAATTGGAAGCATTATTGGATGAAGATTCGTGCCAAACGCAAGAAGCACTTGCACTTACATTAGGAGTGACTCAACCAGCAATTTCACATCGCTTAAAATCGTTGGGAATGATTCAAAAGCAAGGAAATTGGGTTCCATATGAACTGAAGCCGAGAAACGTTGAACGCCGATTTTTCACATGTGAAATGCTGTTTGCCAGGCATAAACGAAAGGGTTTTTTGCACCGTGTAGTCACTGGTGATGAAAAATGGATCCACTACGATAACCCAAAGAAGAAGAAATCATGGGGACCACCTGGCCATGCTTCAACATCGACAGCCAAGCCGAACATTCATGGGAAAAAGCTCATGTTGTGTATTTGGTGGGATCAGCTAGGTGTCGTTTATTATGAGTTGCTCAAACCGAACAACACCATTACTGGGGCTCTCTACCGAACACAATTGATGAAATTGAGCCGAGCATTCAAGGAAAAACGCGTCCACTACTATTCCAGACACGACAAAATTATTCTTCTGCATGATAATGCACGTCCACATGTTGCGGCGCCGGTCAAAACCTATTTGGAAACACTCAATTGGGAAGTTTTACCCCACCCGCCGTATTCACCAGACATTGTTCCTTCTGATTACTACCTGTTTCGATCGATGGCGCATGGCCTGTCTGAGCAACACTTCACATCATATGAAGATACCAAAAATTGGATCGATTCGTGGATAGCTTCAAAAGATGAAGCGTTTTTCCGATGCGGTATTCGTATGCTGCCAGAAAGATGGGAAAAAGTAGTGGCTAGCGATGGACAATACTTCGAATAAAACATTAGGTACCGTTCTTTCACAATAAATGTCCAATTTTTGATAAAAAACGGCGGAAACTTATTTATACTCCTAATAGTAAAAAAACGTACACAATTGAAAAGTAAACAAATTGAAAAATCCGTTCGGACACTCCTGGATGCTCGAAAAAAAAATATATCCGGGAAAAAGACTACGGATGATCACTCTAGTTACACTATGAAACTAAACTGCATTCCAACAAGTATCTTACACACTGGAACACAATCAGTGTTGTCGCGGGTCAAAAAATAATTTCACTAAATCCTTACTTCAAAATTCACTAAAAAGTCGCAAAATTATATTTAGCACATGCGTGAAATGACTAAAAAAAAGAAGGGATAAAACAAGGTGAATATATTTTTGCAATCTCTGTTGACAGTACGGTTGCTCTTCAATAAATAAATATCACCGTTTGCAATTTATACAATATATAAATATATTAACTGCTGCATTACAACAATTACATCAATAAAAGCCGGTTCCATCTTTCGGTAAATTTTACATGTTAAGTAAGTCTTTGGCAATGCGATTGGATGATTTTGCTATAATATTTAGCTAATGCGTAAAATTTGCTAAAAAGTGGAACAAGTGGCCCTAATATATAATAAGATTATAACAATCTTTCTCCACATATCATTATCATCTATATTTTTTTAAAAATAACTATATTAAACTAATTATAAAATTATTGACAAAACAATTCATTTAGTCTGTGAAATTTAAAATGAAACTTAATAACTTATATAAACTTATATAAATTATGTAACTAGATTGACTGCGTTCAACCAGAAAACGCAACTTTAAAATTCTTGTGATTAGTTTTTTTTATGTTAATATGGTTCAATGAGGAACTAAAAACAAGACCAATAAGAGGAATAGAGGACGTTGACATAAAAATTCATCAAATAAAGAAATAATTCACTGAATCACCAAAAGATCTTAAAAATCACTAAAGTCAAATCATCTTTGACACATATATTCACTTTTGTTCACAGACGCTTAAAGAGCGTGCAGCAGAGATTGCAGCGCAGAAAGAGGCGTTTGCCATACAGAAGAGGGTCGCTGGCAACGAATGCTCGGATTTGCGTACTGCTATTATTGATAGAAAAAGCAGGATACGACAGTTGCAGGTCCGATATGATAGCAGCGTCGCAACAATAGGTACTACCGTGGATGGAGCGCCGATGAGCACCGCATACTTAAAGATACAAAGTGCTCAAGAACGGTACATGCTGCGAGAACAAGGCGACAAGTTAGATGAAACAATCAGACGAACAGAGCAGGAAATACGTAGCATGGAAAACACATTGCGTGTAGTAAACGTATGTAACGACAAATATAGGGACAGTATGAGCATGGTTGATCAGGACGGACCTGAATGGACGGAACAAAACAGACTCGATGAGCAGATGCGTAATGCACAACAGAAGCTATTGCAAAAACAAACGCAACTGCAACGATTGTTTGATAAATTACAGGTATTTTCGTATACATATCTTAAATATCAATTAAAATTAATATGTAACACTGTATGTTATATTACATTGTTGAGTACAAAACATTTTAATATTAATATTACGTTAATTTATGTCGATTTTTAATTTATATCGACTTGGTAGGAGTGTTTTTCGTATTTATAAAAAATTGATATAATTAAAAGAACTAATAATATATGGTATTTATCAGGATAGTAAGAAATAAAACCTATATGCGTTTGTAAAAAGATGACAGCAACAGAAAGATCTAAAAAGTAAAGAGTAAAATTATTTTTAGTGGATTTGTTTAGTTATATATTATTTTTATAGCATAAAAAAATCTATATTTTTTTATTGCAAATAATACATGTATTAAATATTTAACTCGTGCAAAACATAAAATTAAGCGTAATGGAGTAAATATATTTAATTGATAGCAATAAAATATAAAGAAAATTAATATTTTAATTTAATTGGGCAGAAAACGCAGAATGATTATACTCAATTGCTCAACGATATCGAAAAAAGCAAAGAAGAAAAGGAAAATAAAGAACGTTACTTATCAGGTATTGAGAAACAAACAGCAGAACAAGAAGAGAAGATATCCAGAGCCAATAAGAACCTTCGTAAAGTACAGAAGGATATACAAAATTTATATATTTCTAAAAAGGACGACACTGTGCTTCTGCAACAGGTAGGTAATGATCAAGATCTGCTATTAAATCATGCCCTTAGTCGATTTATTATATCTCGAGATGTTTCCCTGCAGAGAGAAGTGGAATTGCGAGAGCTTCAAGAACAAAACGCCCTAGTTCTTCAAGATATCGCGGAGTTCACGATTCGTCATGTAGAAGCTGAAGCGTATGTTAAGAAATTGCTGATAGCCAAGAACATTGAGTTACCATATTTTCCTTCATCGATTAAATCGCCTTGTGATAGTTCCGCAAGCACGATAGATCATTTGAAGAGTACGAGTCGCATAAGTGCCTTTACATCATCAAGGGAGAGTATCAGTAGCGTAATTAAAATAGAGCCGCAATTTGAGGAACGTACGTACATTAAGAAAGTATTATTATGATATCTTTTTCAGGGATGCTGGAGTGACGGTCGAACTTGATCACTGTCGATAGTACAGATTTTTTTAAAATTCAAATAAAAAAGTCAATAATAGTGATATCTTTAATTCATTTCTTTATTTGTCTCACTCAAACACATACATCTGTCCTTAATTAACATATTGCAACACTATTTCTTGCACGATTGAATATCTACTGGTAAACACAATTATTGCTTTGTTTATCATTTCGAATCTTCATTCATCGTTTGTATACACGTAATTTACAGATCAATAGAAATCTTTCTTTTTAAGCTTTAAATCTTAGTTTCATAAACTCAGTATCGTTTATGCATGTAAAACATTGGATGCTGAAATGTCGTTTTGATCCATATGAGCTATAAGACTTTTGTATTAAGGAAAGATCTATGTCAGGTGACAGTTTTATGAGTTGAAAAATGTATGTTTTTAACTTTTTTTTTATTTTAATATAAAGTTTACTGTAGTATCTCCCATAATTTTGCGTCTACTTTAATTTTATAAAAAGATTTTTGATTCTGTTCGAAGATTTATATCGATCTGCAATGTCCTGACAATTTGATCACTACAGCATCCCTTTAAATATCTTCATGTTTTATTTAGAGCTATATCATCAAAACAATTGACAAAAAAAAAAGAATATTTTTATTAATTTCTGATGATTGATTTTTTTAAATGTTAAATTTTTAAATTATTAAAATCATTTAATTCTAATAACAATTATTAAGTCGTATTTTATTTGATTTTAACAGCGAGTAACGCATCGAGGAAAACTGCAAAGCATGATCCCACATCTGAAGAATCATTCGTTTTGTCAAAGCGATCCACTATTGCACATAAAAAGCAGCAATTATGGAAAAAATCATAATAATAATTTCGATAGCATAATAATTCGAACTGGGCATCTATATGCTGGTCGACATCAACTAAAATAAATGTAACACGGAAAAAGTCTGGTTGCATTAATTAAAATTTTTATTGAAAATGGACAAAATTTTTTATTTGAATCTGTTATAATTCTATGATATAATCAGAATTCTGCTTGATATAATCAAAATCTTCTGATTTATCCATTTTCAATCAGAAATTTTTACAATAGTATGGTGTTACATAACAGTTACCAAGGTTGAGTATTAAATTTTTTTTAAAACTAAATTTTAAGTTAAAAAAGTTAAAATTAATTTATAAAATTAATTTACTTAAGTTAAAAGTTGAATTAACAAAAAATTATTTAGTTAATGTTACGTTAAGGCTCTTGAATAGTCGCCGTGACCATGTTTGAATCGTGACGCCATAAGCGAGAAATGACAATGTTAATTTATGTTACGTATCATTTGTAAAGATTTGGATAAATTTAAATAACCAGATCGCTTAAAATTTATAAAAATGGACGGAAACTGTCCTTTCCTCTCTTGAATCAATAAATGGTTATAAGAAATACGTAAAGTGAGCCTCTATTTGGGCAGAAAACACACGATTTGACAGTTGTTGAAACGAGTTAAAAATACATTTTTACTTATAAAATTTCAAGATAATTTTATTTTTTGTCGATTTTTACGATTTTGATAAGTATGAGACACATTTTCATAATTAAGTACATAATAACAAAATAGCACGTAACATTAAATTTTGTTAAACTTTTCCGTGGCGCTACAGAAAATTGTCGCATAGAGTTCCTATAAGAGGCTGCGTACAATGAAGAAATTGGAACAGAGAATAAGAATTTCAACCTATCAGAAACTGTGTATTCTATAATGCGTTTAATACCTAGCTGTTCAGCGGAGGGTTGCACGAATTCCTCGATAAGGGGATTCAAAATGGAGTATCCAAAGATGTCTATTTATTTTCTCTTTCAGTACATCAATTTGTTGTGACTTGGAAAATGTTCTACTCTTTCCAATGTACACGTAAAAATTGTTGCACCTAAAAGAACTGAGCAATTGTTCATACCATTTATTAAAGCGACAGCAAATATTCAAAATTAATTTTGCTGTTAGGCACATTCTTGCTTGCTTGTACAATTCTATTCTACTCTATCTTATATCTGGGATCATTAAAATAATTTGAATTCAACTCTATTGTCGCGTATAATTGCAAGTAATCATTTGAATTATTACGGCAAACACAGTTTCAAGTTTTGACTATTAATGGCGGACCAGCGGGCGGTGTCCAGACTCTGGCGTCCACTTGATGCTACAAATGTTTTGAAGTATTTTTTGATTGGTCAATTAGTGAAATTTTTTCTTTTAATTGGCCAGTCAAATGCTTTCGAAGCGTTTATAGCGCTAAGTGAACCGCACCCTCTGTTATAGGAAATTTTAGTGTAGTGAATATGTTGACAATTTCGTAGTGCAACAAAAAGCGTTGCGGATGTTTTCAGACGAGTCACTTCGTCATTCGAATGCGGACTTTCGAACTGAGCGGACATTTTTTTCAATACATATCTCCGTTCGAGTTTGCACTTGCGTGTCATGATTTTATGGTTCGCGTTTCTACGATTATCACTACTTTTATTACATTAATTTCTATTTATTCTTGTGAATAGCATGGTTAGCATCTTACTGTGTTTTTTGTTGCATGCATACGGTTGATGCATACGGATGAGGATCTTCTTTCCCTCCGACCTCGAAGACGCGGGTAATCTCCAGCCTAGTGTCTTTGTGCCGTTTTCGGATTTTGCTGCGTTTTTCGAGCATGTTCTTACCTAACATTGTGGATCTAATCTCTAAAAGCGTTAACGAACGCGTCGTTAACCAGTTGTCCTATTTTAACTTTTAACGACAATATTGATATCGTTATGTGTCGTTGCGCAGCTTTTTCATATAAAATATCTGCGCAACGACATTGTAATGATAGGTGCGTACCGAGTTACGCATGAAGCGCATGATGCATTATTTATTCTTATTGTTTTGTCAAATAATAAAAAAGGATACAACGATACATCATGCACTTCATGCGTAACTCGTAACGCATCCGATATCGATACTGTTGTTAAAAGTTACAGCAGGACGCCCATATAGTTGTGAGTAGCGACGTTTCCGCGAATCAGATTCGATTATTTGAGTATGGTATTCAGCAAAGAAAAAGGACTTCTCCTTATTC